ATAGACTTAAGAAAAAGGGAGAGTTCATTGTTTGAAAAAAGAAAAAAAAAGAATCACTCCTTTGAACTAAGTGTGGCTCTCGCCTCCCACATCAGCATTTAAATGCCACAGGGGCTCCTCACAGACACATACCTGCAAAGCAGGGTCTTGTGACATTTAGGGACAAAGATACAGAAGACAGGCCATACCTCAGGATCCTAAAGAGGCAGCTCTGTGAGGGCACAAGTCATGCGGTTCCCCAAGCACACCCAGCCTCACTGGGGCAGAGCCCACCAAGCTGGGCTGAGCCCCACCACAGACCTCTGTTCAGGCCCATGGAACACTTGGGCCATTTAAGAATGCAGGGAGTGTGGCTTTGGTCATGGGCGGGTGCCCTGGGACACTCGAGTGAATGTGTGGGAGCTGGGGGAAGGCCTGGAGCTCTAGAAGGTCCTAAGGAGTCGCCTAAAGCCCCAGACTGTGGAATTAGAATAACTCTGGTGCCTCTGAGAGGGTGAGGCCCACAGGAGCCCAGGGAAGGCAGAAGCAATGTGGTGGCCAAGCCCGCCCCCTGCTGGCCACATGTGGAGCAGCAGCGCCCGCCGCCCAGGGCAGGGCCCCTGGCAGCACCCACTCTCCACTCACACCCACACAGGGGACCTACTCAGGCTCTCGGGAGTCTAGAGGCAGGTGGGGAGCGGGGTGAGGCTCTTCCAGGCCTGGGAGGCACAGGTGCCACCGCCAGGCCTCCCGCCCCCGCCAGGTGGGGTATCTCCCTGGCCAACCTTCCTGAGCCCAGCAACAGGAGGTGAGAGTCAGGAGTGGGGCGGGGTGCCTATTGCGCGGGAACCCCTCCGCGTTCCAGTCCCTGTCTCGCTCGTCTTGGACCTGTCCCTGCCTACTGGGCAGCGGGAGAAGCCAGGGCTGCTACCACTGCCCGGATTTCCACTCCCGCCCCCAGGTATTGATTTCCTGCATCATTCATTTGCCAGGCCTGGTGGCTGTGATTAGCTCCCTCCACTCTCCCTACGGAGCCCCCCGCCCGCTCCTCCATGTTCCAGCAAAGCAGAGCTAATACCAGGCTCTAAATGAGGCTTTGCCACCCTGGCCCCAGCAGCTTACAGCCAGGCCTGGCCAATTACACGTAGGCCCTTGGATATCCCCAGCGTGGCCCCTGCCTAAAAAACCCCTTGGAACCCTCCTCTTCCTCACCTAGAGCCGCTGCACGTCAGGGAGGCACAGATGCCCAGGCGGCTCTGTAGGGAGGGACATGCGGCTGATCTTGAGCCTGTGGCGGGGGTTCTCTGGCCTGATACCACCCGGCCTGGGGACCCCTCAGGCTGGCTCCAAGCGGCATCAACTTGGAAGGGGAGGGCAGGTAAAGCCCACAAAGCAAACAGAACCTCCTGGATTTGCGCACAAGATTCTTTCTCTCCCTCATGCAGTGTCCATCAGGAGCACAGAGCCTTCAGCTGCCAGCTTTCTGATTTGGTGCTTTCTCTAGGGCAGAGTCAGAGAGGGAGGCAGGGGGCAGAAACTAGTGAAAGATCCCAAGTACCCACACCCAGATGGGCTCCCAGAAGACAGCCCTGGGAGGCTCACTTCCTGAAATTCCTGCACCACACTCCCCAGAGGAGGGGAAAAAACCTGACTTGGTGATAATTCTGTGAGCTATGTTGCTCTTGTCAAATTATTCAACATCTGTCTTCATGTTCCCACAAAAATTAGCATAGGATAGTAGTTTCTGATGACACCTTTGGTGAAATATTTTGACTTCCACCAGTAAGTTGCAAACAACCTGTCTTAAGGATAATGTCAATTCCCACTCCTGCATATTAAATAATCCAGGGGTTTGTTATGTTTTTGTAAGGGAGAGGAATCCCACCGACCTGCCCCTGGCTGGAAGTCTGTGTCCTGTGAGAGGAGGAGGAGAAGCCGGAACAGAAAAGGGGGTGTTCTCTGACACTATCCACGCACAGGACCGGCCTCCCCATCACTTGGCTGCTGTCTTTGCCCCAGAACTGGGCCTCCCTGCCAGCCCAGCCCCCTGGCCTGCCAGAAAGCAGATTACAGGATCCACCACCGAGGACAACAAACTGGGCCAGTAGCTTGGGAAGCGAGGAGGGAGGGGGACCAGCTCCAAATGGACCATCTGGCCCAGCACTGCTGTAGCATCTGTGTCCCAAAGAAGAGTGAAGCCACCTGGCCACGCTGAGAGTGCCTCCCCAGCCCTGCAGACAGCAGACCTTGGAGTAGGTGGGTGGACCTCAGCAGGCACAGGGCCTAGGGCCCTGGACACCTGCCTACCGCTGGTGTCAGCAGGGAGACCCACAGCCCAGGCCAAAGGCTGGTTTACCCATGCGCTACTTCACCTTCCTCTCCAGAGTTTAGCCTCCATATTAATCTGTCCTTTCCCCAGTCACGCGGGCCTAGGGGCAGAAGGGCAGGGATTGGGGCTCCCTCCCCAAGGTATACACTTTTCTCCTGCCTCCCTCCCCACTGCCAAGGCAACCCTGGGCTTCCATTGTCTCCTCTCCTCTGCGACTGCCAGCCTAGGACTCCGGGGCCTTAAGGACTCAACATGAGTCCCACTGCCCTGTGGGAAACCAAGCCCTGGACAGACTTTTGGGGGAGCAAGCATTTCAAGAAGCATTTCTTCCATCTCCCCCAGTCACGGCCCCTTCATTCATTCATTCAACAAATATCCAAGGAGCTCCTGCGGTGCTCGAGGCCCCACACTGGACTGGATGCAGTGGTGGCCTGGGAGGTACCACCCCTGGCCCGATGTGCTCCCCTGGCTCTTTCGGAATCACTTCATCTGCTTTGAGGGTAGAGACAAACTGGAGTGGGGCAGAGGAGTGAACCCCACCTGTCCATCTACTTCTCAGAGCAGTCCCAGCCCTTCAAAGGGGCATGTTTCTGCCACACCTGGCGGGCGCTCCTGGCACCACCAGGACCCCAGAGTCTCGCTGCCCTCTCCGGCTCCTGTTCCATCTTTCCCTGTCTCCATCCACCTAATGAAGACTTTCCGCCCTGCGACTCCCCAGCCGGCCAAGCCTTCCCCAGAGCCCAGTTCTCCCAGGAGAGGTGGGGAAGCCTGGTTGGCTCGAGCTCACCCACTCCTCTTTCTGATTTTTGCTGAGAGCAGTTGGGACCTGGGCACATGAAGGAGAGGAGAAAATAAAGAGAGAAAAGGAGACAGTAACCGTGTGGCCGAATGCTGGCCCCAAAGTCCTCTGAAATAAGGGTCTACGGAGACCACTGCCTTGTTCTCCAATCCCCACTGCTGGGGTTTTTGATTGAGGCCCCAAAGAGCCTCCTCAAGATGAGCCCTTGTTCAGCCCTGGAGAAAGTTGGAGAAGATGGAGAGGGTGGAGGAGAACAATGGCCCTGAGATGGACTTGGCAGGTCTGCTCAAGGGCACACAGAGGGGCAGGGTGGAGCACAGCGGCACCCAGGAAGGGTTTTCCAGCACATTCCTGAGTGCCTGGATATGAACAGGAGGAAGGAAAGGCCTCAGCAGCATCCTTCCTAGGGCACCTCAAAGATGGCAGTAGAGCTGCAGGGAATCTTTGGGAAGAAAGAGGAAAGAGGAACCCCTAGACCACTGGTGTCTTCCTCTATTCTAGGGAGGCCAAAGCCTTCAGGACCTGCTCAGCAGCCTCCTCTGCATACCCAGCCTCTCCCAGGCCCTGCAACCTTCCTCCTCCCTCCTGCCTTTCCTAGCCTTGGGGTGGGGGGTGGGGGGCAGTAGGGAAACACAAACTGATTAAGAAGCGGAGTTTGGCCAGATGCCTGGCCCAGCCTCATCCAGGAATTAAGCCCAGGCCAGCACTCTGTGGAGGGCCAAGAGCATGCCATCTCCTGGACACCCCTTCCTCTTGACAGGCACAGGCAGATGGAGCAGGGCCACTTCAGAAGGAAGACTTAGCACCAGCACCTGAAGCTGGCATCTAGGGGACACTGCCCCTGCCACCCTTCTCAGGACAGGTCAAACTCCTCCAGATCTAAACAAGAATAATTAGGCCCTGGGCCCCGGAAAAAGAGAGAATGTTGCCCACTCCAGCTACACATCATTAAAAAGTGACCTTCTCCTACAGTCGGGAGAAGGCAAGAAAGCTCCATGGCCCCTGGAAACGGACTTTCCCGGCTGGAGACCCCTGAACAGGTGATGCCCAAGCCTGGGGCCTTCCCTGGGAAAGCCCTCGATATGGAATGGAGAAGGGGTAACTGGAGTTCCCCTTGCTTCTCTGAGCGTGGCGTGGGTACGCTAGAACAAATCTGAGTGACAGGAGGCAGAGTTTGGACACGTCGCCTGATGGGTGCGTGCCGTGTTTGCGTTTCCTGGGGACGGTGGCTGAATGTGTCTGCTTGTGCTCGCAGGAGGAAGGAAGGTGCGGCTGGGGTTTTGTTCCTGGAAGCCAGGGACCGAACTGGCTCAGGAGAGGTCTGAGAAGGGATGCCAGGGCCGTAGACGCCAGAGGCAGGGGATGCCGGCATCCGCTCAGACTGGAAGAAGCGAGTAGAAGCAGCGAAGCCGCAGCGATTGCGGGGAAGGCGGAGAGCCCGCCGCCCGGCCGCGGCGCTGGCAAGCAGCTCGCCCGCAAGCAGCGCGCAACTCCGGATCCTGCATCGCTCGTTTCCACTTAGGAAGCCGAGCCAGGAGAGGATGAGGCTCAGTGTAAGTCGCCGCCCCAGCCCTGTGCCTAGGGTCTGTTCGGGTCTCCAGAGCCCTTTGGATTCTCTCAAGGGTTCACAAGTCACTCTCGGCCCTAGCAGGGTTTGGGAAAGTGAGTACTTCCTCCTGGCATCCCCAGCTTCACGCCAGACCCTACGACCATTCCCAATGCTCCAAAGCAGCTAGCTCGGTCTCCTCGCGCCCAGGAGAGGGCGGAGACGCGGGCATCCACTCCAGAGTCCGAGCCTAGGTCTCCACCAAACCCCGGCAGCGCGCACTTTGCGCCTCTTGCAAAGTTTCCGCGCGGGGCTCAGCCAGCGTGGAGTGGGACACGGGCTCTTACCGTAGACTCCTTGTCCCCGGCAGTGGAAGGGGATCAGCGCCAGAAGTAGAAGGCAGGTCACCTCCATCTTCACGGCCGGTGCTTCATCCCCGCGAGGCGGCGCAGCCCGAGAGGCAGCGGGGGGCGCATCCGCCGGGGCCCCGCGACACCCCCTATGTCCCCCTCTTTCCCTGAGAGGCGACCGAGAGGGCGGCGACCAGGGGACTGAAGAGTAGGCGGTGACGGCGGCGGCGACCCGGGTTTCTCCGGTGGGGCCGCTGCACTGATGGGGACGCAGGGGGCGCTGGCCCAGCCCCGGGTGCCTTGGCGCGCCCGGCGCAGCAGCCAGCGCCCCGGCCCAAGAAGCCCGGTCGCCGAGCCGCCCCGGGTCCCCAGGGCTGTCCGCTGGGGGTGCTGGGCTCCAAAGACCTCTCCGCTGCTGCGGCGGCGCTTGGCTCCAACAGGCCACCGACGACTGACAAACTTGTCGTTTCCCCGCCCAGGGGACGCCCCTCCGCGGAGCGGGGGCAGGGAGACCCGGGTTCCTCTGGGCTTAATTCGCTGTCTCCAGTCCTGCACCCGGTGCTGAGAGCTCAGCAGCCCGACCTGAGGGGGCAGGCTGCGCACCTGCCAGCTGCAAAGGAACCTCAGTCCTGGCCCTCTTGAGCGGGGTAGCAGCGCGGGCTGGGTTCGGCCACTGGCAGAGCGACTCGGCTCCTGGGGTCCGCGAAGTTAGCCGAGCCGCCGAGGCACCCGAGGGAGGAATCGCGCCCCGGCGCCCAGCGGGAATCTGGAGAGCAATTCCAGGCAAGAGGGACCCCAGGAAGCAGGGAAGGAAGGAAAGTTTGAGTCGTTTGAAAAAATATTCGCGCCCTCGCCGAGGCCGGGGCTGCGGCGCGGGCGCAGCTGGCCGCCTCCGCTCGCCGCGCTCCGCTCCCGCCGTCTGGCCGCGTCCGTGGCGCTCCCCGGCTCCGCGCTCTCGGGAGAGCCGGGCTGCGCCGCGCCCCAAGTTGGTCGTCCCCGCCCCCGCCCGGCAGCCTCGGCCAGCGGGGGCCTTGATCGGGCGGGGCCGGGCCGGGCTGCGGGGCGCGGCGGCCGCTCGGCTCCGGGCCGCGGGAGCGCTCCGCTCGCTCGGCAACTTGGGCTTCGCTGTGCTGCTTTTTCGCCCCTCCGAGCTTTTCATTCCGCGCTCCCCCCGCCTCCCTCTCTCCCGCCCTCCCTCCCTCTCCTCCCTCCTCCCCGCGTCTCCTCGTTCGGTCTCTCGCTCTCCCACCCTTTGTCGCTCGCTCTCCTGTTTGATTCCCCTCCAGTTAAAAAAAGGAGCCAATTAAAGGCAGCCCAGCTCGCCCGGCCCAGCCTCTGTCCAATTTCCTCGCCTCCCCCAGGACCAATTAGAGAAAACAAAACAGGGCTGGGGGAAGCAGACTGCCTGCTTCTCTCTCTCTCTCTCTCTCTCTCTCTCTCTCTCTCTCTCTCTCTCTCTCTCTCTCTCCCCCCTCCCCCCGCCCCTTTCCCCCCAGCCCCCGGCAGGAAAATGTCAGAAAGCAGAAATGGATCCATCTATCCCGAGGACAGTGGCGGAGGGACGTGGGTTTCGGCGCGGGCTCTGCAGCCGCGCGCTCGCACACTCGCTCTTCGCCCGCCCTTGCACACCCAGCCTGGCTGCCCAAGCCGGATGCTGCGATCTCGGCACGCTCGCTGGCAAGCACGGCCGCTCGCTCCGGGGACCCGAGCCAGCAGGACACTGCACACTTCATAAATGTTTTGCACTTTTGGGAGGCGGGAATGAAACCGGGGATCCGAGGGAAAGGCCGGGTTTCTGCGGCCACTCGGGTCCTTCAGGCGCGAGAGCCGGCAGCCTGCTGTAGGGCTGCAGGGCTGTGCGCTCGGCCCGGGAGAGCCCTCCACCCTCGGCCAGCCCTAGCCCCTTCCCAGGCCTCGGCTCTCCCCGCGTCCGGAGCCAGGAGCGGGGGCCGCTGCCAGAGCAGCTGGCGGAGCCGCGGGTGGAGAGGGCGCGCTTAGAGCTCATGCCCTTGCCGCGGCCCACAGGTTGCCAACAGGTTTGCCCGCAGGACCCCTCTGCCGGAGCTCCCCAGGCCACCGCCTAGTCTCGGTTCGCCCCTCTCCCCATCCTGTCTCCCCTCGGGACCTCAGGCGCCCCCAAGCGCCCCAGGGGCGCACGCCCTTCCGGTAGCCAAGCCGGGGCGCCGCTCCAGCCGCCCGAGTCCGGCACTCCGGGTCTCCGCTGCCTCAACCCAGCCCTCCCGGAGCAGCGGCGGGGACAGCGCTCCTCCCAAACGCCCTCGGGGAGGGGCGTAGGCAGGCTGGCCGGGCGGGCGGCCTCCTCTGCCTCGGATCCCGGTCCCCCAGCCCAGTCCTGCTCATCTCACCTGCTCCACCTGTCGCCGTTATTTATCTCGGCGTGGGCGCGGGGATTGTGGCCGAGTGGCCCGTGGGAGCGCGGACAGCCGCGGCAGCTACAACAACCGGGCAATTACAAACCCTCCTCCCGCTCACCCGGCGGAACTGTTGGGTATGTGGATTGCGATGGTGATTCCGCGACTCTGTGCATTTGTCAAAACTCAAAGACCCGTACGCCAAAAAAAAAAAAAAAAAAAAAAAAGTGTTAATTCTTCTGCGTGTAAATCAAAACATAAAATTAAAAATCTTAATAAACCACTCCTTCCCCAGGTCTGTTCCTGCTGGGTCCCTTCTCCTCTGACCCTCCAGGGGTTACCCCCACTGCTCAGGAGGAAGGAGAAGGTGTGGGGACATGCCTTGTGGCATGGGGAGGGGCGCCATCGCTGGACACCTCAGCCCCTCTTCTGTCTATCTCAGGAAGTCCGAGGACACTTGAAGACACCGCCCCCCAGGCACCCTAGCTTGTTTGGTCTCCTTCATCCTCTCTCCCCTCTTGTGTCCCTTTCCATAGGTCAGAGGCTGAATACGAGGGTCCAAAAAGAAAGCTCAGTGCTGTTCACCCAGAGAAGGCCAACGCAAGGTTCGTTAAATGGATTAATGAATGATGTCCATCACAAGCCAGAAACCACAGAACTGGGTTCCCCTCAATGTAACCATCCTTCCTTCTCTCCACCTCCCATTACCCCAAAGGAAAAAACCCATTCATTTTCTGCTCTCCAGAGATAGAAAGCCATCATGCATCTTCCCACCCACCTCCCCCACTCCGTCTGAAAAGGAAGTGGCACCCACCAGTTGAGGGTATGACAAGGAGTGGCTTCATTTATTATCATCTTCTCATTATTAGAAGGTTTCTAGAAATCCCTACCTCCTCAGGGAAACTCTTAGGGAGTAACGGTGGTGACGCTGGCTTTTCTGGCCTTGCCTATTCTGAGTTTAAAGACCCTGCTGACGTTCTCTTAAGTTTGCCCTCTCTGAACACCGGCTGGCCGGGAGGAGGGCTGGGGAGGGCAGGGGCAGAAGTCCAAATTCAAGGCAGGCTGGGACTGAATGTGTGCTGTAGTGATCCACTTGGGAGCACTCTGCGGCTAATGGTATGCAGGGCAACTACCTGCAGCCTGTTGGTGGGGGCTGTGAAGACTCCGCTATCTCCTCCCCCAGGTGTGCCCTGCCTGCTGCTGCAGAGAGAGCCATGTGTGGGACAATGGTGGGGAGCCCTAGAGAAGGGAACACACTAGCATGGAAGCCAGAAGCCCTGAGTTCCTGTCCTGGTCTCTCTAGGCCTCAGTTTCCCCCCGTGGTAGGTCCTCCGGTAGTTAGGATGCCAACCTCCAGATGTGGTTGAGGGAGGGGAGGGTACCCACAGCTGACACCGCAGGTCATGTGTATCCACTGTTTAATCCTCATGACTCACCCAGCTGCTAAGTGGCCAGCCTGGGCTTTGACCTCGGTGGCTTGGCTGGATGACCTTGCTCTTTCCCATTGTCCTGTGCCCAAGAGAGGTGAGGGCCCAGGGACCTAGGAGTACCTTCACACACTGGAGCAATCCTCTGGATCCCAAATGGGGCTGTTAAGAAGAGAGTGGGGCACAAGAGCTGGACCCTGAGATCGCAGGAGCTCTTGAGGGGGCTTCCTGAGCACGACGCTTGGAGGCTCAGGGTCAGCAACCAGACGGCTGCAACGCTGTGCATTCAGCACGCTGTACCGCCACTTCCCACCGAAGGAAAACACCATCCTTTTGCCTCAGAGGAAGCCCAGCGCTTGGGCGCCAGAAGGGGTCAGGAACTAGCTGCAAGCTGAGGGATTGAGGGATTGAGGGATGGGCCAGGGAGCCCGAGCCCCAGACCCTGGCCAAGCAGGGCAGCTGCAGGGTTTTGTTATAAAAATGTTACTAGAGCGTCCTCCCCTCTCCTGCAGCTTGCTCTTCTCTTCTCGGTGAGTCAGCCTGGAAGAGGAGAGAGGGAGAGAGGAAGTCTTTGCCGTGATGCTGTCGGGGCCTTTCGAGGGAGATTGTCTCTGAAAATCATACAGTGGCAGGTATTGATTCAATCGCAGAGCAAGACACTTTCTGGCCAGCGGGGAGGGCTGCCTGGGGATGAGGAACCGGGAGAGTTATGACCCCACTGAAAGACTAGTTTATTAATTCGGGCTCTAACAAATAGCCAATTAATGGCTCCAGCTGCTAATTAGTAAGCAGTTAAGTCCTGTTATAAATTGTGCAGCTTAAGAATAGTGAAACCAAATCCTGCAATGATACCCTTGAAACCCACCCCCACACCTGTGGCCTTCTATCACCTGGGGTCTGTGTCCCCCACCATGCACTCCTGTCCCATACCCAGGCAGCCCTCTTGCCAGCTTCTTGGGGGACAGGGACTTTGTCCATAAGTTCACCATTCATTCATTGAACTACTATTTAATGAGCACCTACTATGTGCTAGGCACTGCTCTAGGAACTGTGAATTCGATGTGAATAATAGACAAGATCCCTGCTTCACAGAGGTTACAGTTTAATGAAGAGACAGACAACAGACTTCACAAGAAAGGAAAGAAAATAGTACTTAGATAATGAGTCAAGGAGACTATTAAAGCTAGGAAGAGAAATAGAAAATGCGAGAGCTAAAATGTTAGAGAGGACATCCAGAGAAGACTATGCTAACATTTGAGTCATGACCTTAAAGAGGTGAGGGATGGAGCCAGGCCAACATCTGAGGCCAACATCTGCAGGGAGAGGAGACAGCAAGTGCAAAGTTCCTGTGGTAGTGAGGAGGACCTCAGCTGGAGGATCGCCTGGCTGCAGCTGAGCAGGTGAGGGAAGAGTAGGGCTGGGATCAAAGAGGTTTAGGGAGCCAGTCATTTGTGCCTTGGGGTTATTACAGTACACTGGATTTTACTCTGAGTGAGATGGCAGCCATGTGGTCTTGAGTAGAACCAAGGAGGGATCTGACTTTTTAACAGGCACACTATGGCCACTGCATGGGTAGTAAATTAAAGGGGGAACCACAGTATCCCACCATTCAGTGGGTGCTCAGTAAATGCTCATCATATGAATTGATGAATGAATTCTGATGGGGCTAGACTGTGAGCCTGGGAACCTGGCCCATGCTTGAAAGGTTGATTTAGTTGGATTCTCTTGTGAATTACTTTCAATCATCAGCAATGGTGCCGGAGCATTTGAACTTTCCAAGGAATTCCATATCTACTATCCTACTGGGTCCTTCACTTGTCCCTGTGAGGTAAATTAAAACATGTGGCTCTTCCATTTTACAGATGTGAAAACTGAGGCAAAGAGACATTCACTGACGGGCTGAGCAGTGAGCAACCAGAGACCAACTCTAGGGTGATTTCGGGTAGGGGGAGAAAAAGGACAAAGATACAGAGGAATCCCTCCCCTCTCCAGCTGCCACATTACAATTGCACCCTGCCTCAACCATGTGATCCTCCCTCAGGGCTCCATATTCTTATTTCCACAATGACAGTGTGTGCAGACACTACTTCTCAGATCACCTCCAGCACCAGCCTCCAACACCTGTGACCTG